ACGGCGCATAGCGCCGCTCCGACCCATGGTGGCGCCCGCCGGGAGGGAGCCCGGGAGAAGCTCGAGCTCTCGGACGGGGCAGGCTCGGATACGCCGGCCGACACTTCGGCCGACCGTGCCGTTTTCGTTTTGTACTTGGCTGTGCAAGGCCTTGCAGTGACGAGATCGAGCTGTGAAGTTCACTTTTGGACGGCCTGAGAAATCAAAAGCTCGTAGCTAAATCAAAGCCCGAGCCAAACGCCGCAGGGTATACGTCCCTGGCTACCGGCTCCGTAGAAGGTAACTTGCCTTCAACTTGAAGAAAAGTATCCTAAAAATGGTCGGACATTTCCAGCACCGGGCCGGACCGACGAGCGCCGGCGAAACTAATCAAAAGCCGGTCGAAATTAATCAAAAGCCGGTCGAAATTATTCAAAAGTTCACTTTTGTATAAAAGTCAACTCTCGCTCGATCTCGTCACTGAGGCCTTGTGTACATGCCCGCTTACGACGCGCGCGCGCGCGTCTCGGCGGGCTCGCGCCGTCGGGGGGCGCCGGCTGCGTACGAGGGGTCGTCGCGCGGCGGCCCGTCCCCGGCGCACCTTCAGGCTTCAGGGCCACGCCCACGACGCGGCGGCGTCGCGCGCGGCCTGCTTCTCAATCTCGCGCTGGAGCGCGGCCTCGCGGTCCTGGAGCCGCTCGGACCAGGAGACGTGGTCGTCGATGGCGTCGGCGCTGAGGCCGTCGAGGAAGGCGGACGCGGCCGCGGCGCGCGGCGGCGGGCTGAGGATCTCGACCTCGACGAAGGGCTTCATGCCGTCGCTCGTCGCCGGCCGCGGGTAGTAGAGGCCGCAGGGGCTCGGCTTCGCGTAGGACCGGACCTTCTGCGGCAGCTCCGCGACCATTTGGCGCACGGATCGACGCACGGAGATCATCGTGACCTTGTGCCTCAGGATCGACGTCGGGACGCGCGCCATGGCGACCTGCGGGGAGGATTCGTCGCGGTCGACGGCGAGGGCGGATCCGTCGCCGCGGTCGCGAGCCGGGGGTGTCGTCGCGCGTCTCGGCCGAGCGACGTCGCGCCGCCGCCGGCGTCGTCGCGGCACTCGTCGACGGCCCCGACGGCGCGGCGTCGCTTTGTCGCGTGTACGCGCGGGCCAAGGAGTGCCGCGGCGGCGGCGGCGGCGCGGCGACGGGGCAGGGGTGGCTTTGCGTTGCGTTCGCGCGGCGCGGAAGCGCTGCGAACGTTCTTCTTCGTAAACGAGCGCCCGAGCGACGCCGCCGTTTCGTCACCGCCGTAGCGCGAGGCGTTGTACCGCGTGCAGGGTAACCGTCGATCGACTGAGGGGGCGGAAGTGGCGTACTGGGCGCCGGAGAGCGCTGACAATCTCTAACCGCGAACGACAAGCTGATTCGCATCTTCGGCATCCGAAGCGCAGTTGGCTGGGGTCCGCGCGCGCGCGCGGCGA